TGAAACCTAACTTAGGACTACATTTGTCCCTTGGTATAACTGGGGGATTGGTTCCAGGACCTTCTGAGGATACTAAAATCTGCAGATATTCTATTCTCTAATGTAAAACAGCATAGTATTTGTATATAACTGATGAGCATCCTCCTATATACTTTAAATCATCTCTAGAAAACTTATGATACATAATACAGTGTAAATGCTATATAAATATTTGTTGTACTATTTTCATTTGTATTATTTTTATTAGTGTGCTGCTATTTTTATTGGCTTTTTTTCCAATTATTTTCAATCCACAGTTGGTTGAATCTGTGGATGCTAAACCCATATAAACAGAAAATCAACTATGTGTTTTATGTAATAAATAGCTAAGTGTCGGTCAGTCACAAACAGCTGAGCTTCAGCCAAATATAGCCAGCCAACTTATTAGACCATGCCCAAATAAGGAAAATGCCTCATCACACTATGTTGAAATAAGGCAAATACCTAGCTATAGCCAATCAGATGATTTCAATACTTTTCTCCTATGCTCAAATTATACAAGTCTAGTTACACTGCTGGGTGAACTTATACTTCTTAAGGAGAAGAAGTAGACTTAATTACAAGTCTAGCTTACACTGCTGGGTGGACTTATACTTCTCTGGACCTCTTCTGGTTTTGAGTGCTACCTGACTTGTGAGTTTACATTACTCAAACTCTACTAGGCTGGGTGCAGTAGCTCATGCCTGTAATTCTAGCACTCTGGGAAGCTGAGGCAAGTGGATTACTTGAGGTCAGAAGTTCCAGACCAGCCTGAACAAGAGTAAAACCCAGTCTCTAAAAAACATAGCCAGGTGTTGTGGCAGGCACCCATAGTCCCACCTACTCAGGACGGTGAGGCAAGAGGATTGCTTTAGCCCAAGAGTTTCAGGTTGCTGTGAGCTGTGATACCACAGTACTCTACCAAGTGCAACAAAGTGAGATTCTGTCTCAAAAAAAAAAATTTAAAACCTCTACTATATTTAATTTGTCTACAGTATTTATTTATTTTTTTTACTGAATTTTTTTTTAATTAAATCATAGCAGTGTACATTAATACTATCATGGGGTACAGTGTACTGTTTCTGTATACAATTTGAAATACTTTCATCCAACTGGTTAACATAGGCTTCATTTCTTTTTCTTAGTTATTGTGTTAAGACATTTATATTCTACATTTAAAGTATCCAACGTACAGTATTTCTTTTAACACTTTGCTAGCAGTAATCTGCCTAGAATCCTATCTTTCCTTCTTTCCCTGCTGATATTCTACTTAAATTTCAAGGCTCATCTAAAATTATACCACCTCTGGGATCTCACCCATTTACCCTACTTACGCTATTCATAATGAACTATTTTCTTTTATGCCCCCATGGCTTTTGAAATATACCTATTCTGACATTTACTCTTACTTGCCTAAATGAAATGTGCATCTTCCTACCTCTCTCACTAGATTATGAGTTCCATAGGACATAAACAAGACCTTATTTACTTCTTTTCTTTCAATGTAACATAGTCCCCTGCACATAGTAGGTATTCCACAACCTTAAGCTAAATGAAATGAGAGAACCATTCTCTCCTAAAACAGAATCAATCAAAATACAAAATTCAAAATCATATTCTCAGCTGGGATCAGTGGCTCACACCCATAAACCTAGCACTTTGGGAGGCTGAGGTAGGAGGATCACTTGAGCCCAGGAGTTTAAGACCAGCCTGAGTAAAACATCAAGAGCCACATCTGTATTTTTTAAAAAATGGGCATTGGTACACACCTGTGGTTCCATCTGCTCAGAAGGCTGAGGCAGCAAGATTGCCAGAGCCCAGGAATGTGGCATTGCAGAGAGCTAGGATGGCACCACTGCATTCTACCAGGGACAACAGAGGTAGACACAGTCCCCTCCACCACAAAAAAAAAAAAAAAAAAACATTTTCTCTAAAACTCGAAGAATAAACAATGTAAACTGCAAGTATAATTTTGGAATACTTTTACATATTAAACATTCACACATTGAAATATAATAGATATCAGAACTAGTGCATTTTAAAGCTTCGTTCCATTTAGGAATCCATTTTCTTGGAAATACAGACTAGCAATGCTTCACAGTGCTTTTAGTGACAACAGAGATTTGAACTCCCCAATGCCCTTCCAGTAGAGGTACATTCTCATAGGTTTTGGAACACTGAGTGTAAGAGGTTTGGAAATAGGTCTTAGAAACAACAGAACTGTCTCTCCTTCCAGAAGGCAGCTGAGTGAGCTGCAATGAGCAGCATAATAGGGAAGAAAGTGGTGCCCTAGAGCTAGGAAAGCCAGGGCACTGCAGTTTAAATTCAGTGCAACCAGAACCTTACTGCTGATTTCTTACTGATTCTGCCACCTATTGACTACATTATGAATCAAGGCACTAAGAGTGACAAGGAACTTCAGCTATTAAAGTAAGATCAATCAATAGTTATTGAGTGCTATTTTTAAAATGGCGGTTTAGTATCATTAAAATTTGTTTTGATGATGCTATGAATGTCTGGAATGTGCTATGATGCTTAATTGATTACTTAAATGTCCTTTCAGAAATATATCTTAGTAAAAATAATCATACTAAAAGGTGCCCCATTATGATTTTTCCTTAAATATTCAAAATTACAAAAGTTGAAGTAGTATCACATAGAAAATTCATAGAATCAAAGTTAAGAAGAATGGAAATGCAGCATTCTTGAAATGCACACATGAGAGCCTTAGTTTGATTAGGTTTTAGCAGCTGCGGTAAGAATTGCTTTGATTATAACTGATTAGCTCTACCAAGTGCTGAACCAAAGAGCATAAAATTCTTGTGCTGAATTAACAGTTGTGTTAAAGCATCAATAACTAGAAAAAAAGAGCAAAACACACAAACAGCATCAGGTTAAATGAGAGAGTAAAGTGAAATGGTATTTCTTAAGGGCTTGCTAGATATGAAGAACTGTGCTGGATGCCTTAAATATATAACCATATTTAATTCTCACAGCACTACTAAGTAAACATTAGTCTATTCATTTTATGGATAAAAAGGTTCAATCTCTGAGGTTACAAGTATCACAACCGGAATGTAACATGTGTGACTATATTTCCTCTGGCTTTTCCTACACACTACCTTTACCAAGTCTATAATAGAGTTTTATATCTATCTCTAACTTCAGTTTCTTCATTTGTAAAATGAAGAATATATGCTCAATCACTTGTAAGGTCCAAAGTAACTGTAATTTTATGAAATCTGTGATTCTTACAGCATTTAATCCAAATAAGCAAAGAGCAATAAGCAAAAGAGCAGCTACTCAATAGAAAACATGCAGACAATTGGAGGGAGGAGTTCACAGAAAAAGTAAAGACAATCGCCTATAAATAGAAGAAAGGCTGTTTAAATCTATCTCTAATTTAAAAAGTAAAAATTACAACACCAATGATTTACCAATTTCACCTCTGAGATGGGCAATGGTTGTGGGTATAAATAGGCACAAACCCCTTGAAAGGTAATTTTATATCTTTCAAAATGCTAAATGAAAATTTCTAGAATTTATACTACAGATAGCATCACATATGTGTGCCAAGTAGAAATGTGTTCACCACAGAGTTTCTTGAAATAGCAAAAGACAGGAACTAATCCAAATATCCATTATTATAGAACTACTTTAATTAAGATAGGGCCATACACAGACTTCTATGCTGTATATAAAAAGAACACAGTAGATAAACACACACCTCCTATAGAATAACCTCTAAATTTTTGCTACAAATAGCAAACAATTTTAAAAAATGATAAATGCATATATGCATCTAGAGACAGACTATTTCTAAGAGGCAATGCAAGAAATTAGCAATAATGTTTTTCTCTGTGAAAAAATCTGTACGTATGAAATTAATTTACTTCTTTGAAACCATCTTTTTAAAAACTATATGAATACTTTGCAATAAGCATGAATATTTAGCTTTAAGCAATTTTTTATCTTTAACAAGTGATTATAATGATAGTTAGGAGATTAATGATAATCTCAAGTCACTGCACGACCCTTCAAATGTGATGTCTACTATAACAAATAGGGAAAAAGAAAGTAGATCTAATGAAATTTTTGAAAATTTCAAAAATTCTTCAGAATAGTCTGATCATTCAAGATTTCAGTGTGTATGTTAACTTCAACATACGTGGAACAACAAATACAACACAAGCACCTCCAATATGCAAGATATGATAGAAGGGCTGAAAAGAAATCATGTTTGAGGCTGAAGCAGGTAGATTGCTTAAGCTCAGGAGCTCAAGATAGCCTGAGCAAGAGTGAAACCAGTCTCTTAGGGAAAAAAAAAAAGGAAAAAAAAAGCTGGGCATTGTGGCAGGCATTTGAGGCTGCTGTAAACTATGATGCCATGGCACTCTACTGAGGGTGACAAAGTGAGACTCTGTCTTTAAAAAAAAAAAAAAAGAAAGAAAGAAATAATGTTCACCTTTCTTTCTCTCTGTCTCTTTGAATCTTCCAAAAATCATATTCTCATATTCCAGGGCAGGTTGTGATAAATCAGACAAATGAATGGTAAAGGTACTAATTTTAAGTGCACGAGAGCGTGGAATATTTCCATATCTCCATATTTAGTTGTAAAGATTCATTCAAACAGAAAAAATTCTATGCTTAATTGAACTATCACTTCTGCAATAATTAGTGAAATACTCATATTGAAATAAAATCCCAAAATTCATGAACCACAATGATTAGTTATGATATTGAGTAGTATTAAAACTATATGCGAAATTCACAAGAGGTTAAGGATATAATCATAAACAAGGCCCTCTATTACCAAATAAGGAATATTTCAAACAAGCAATGTTATCAAATAAACGATATACTTATTAGGTACACTGTCAGGTGTGTAAAAAGAGTGGACACAAACACACAAAATTTTTAGCAAAAAACTGAATTCTAATATATCACAACCAGGAATTTCTAGTTTAAAGAGTAAAATGTACCTTTTCTCTGGGTAGCAAAAGTCAATGCCAACTTTGCAAAGAGATCCGGATTCTCAAACTTTTCTTCTTTAACTTTTAACCAGAAACAGTTCTCAGACAATTCTTTGGGCTCAATCTAAAATAAAAATAACAAAAGAAGTTTCAAAATTATATTACTTCATGTTTAAATTTTCTAAGAATTCACTTTCAGCAAGATTGAATAACAGTTCCTTTATTCATCTATCCACTAAGTCAATTTCATGATATACCTAAATAATAGTTGTAAGGTAAATATTAATTGGGAAACTCTCAGAATTCTATTGGTGTGAAGAAGAGCTACATGATAGCAATAAGCTGTATAGCAAATTACACTTTAAAAGTTCTTCAACTGGAAGGAGTTTAAAAAATAATTTGCTTAATCCCTCTCCCAATTCACATATGTTCTTCTTGTTTCTGGATTTTTAAAAACAGGGAGACTGAGACTTAGAAAAGTGAATTCTTGATGTTTACTGATTAGGCTGATGGCAAAAACCATAATAACAGTTAACACAAACATCCTACTATGTGTCAGGTGCTGTTTTAAGTGTTCTGCCTATATTTACTCATCTAATCCTCACAATAACCCTTTAAGGCAGGACCTATTATTATCTCCACGTTAAAGGTGAGGAAACAATCCTAGAAAGTTTAAGTGGCTACCTAAGTGGTAAATGACAGAGATAGAATTTAAACCCACACAGTCTATCTCTAAAGAATTGTGCTCTTAACCACTATGATGAAACCCAGCATTAGAACTATCCATTTTCCAGTACATCATAATGCTTTATGATATGAAAGTACCATTATGCTCTATGCTAAACTGCTGAATTAGCAAACACATCATTACATTTACTCACAGAGATTACTGGGCCAACAGCTTCTGGATCCTATATTTTAATGGGTTATCCCTAATTAAAAATGGCTACATTCTAAAACCATTTACACCTCATTTACTCTTACAAGCAAAGCATAGGTATATGTTCAACAATTAAAACTGATTACATAGCCACTGTAAGATATCACTGTAAGTAAGCTCTTAGATGAGTCATTTCCCCAAATGGCTGTCCGAGTAAATGTATTTTCATTAGAAGATTACTTCCTGGCTCGGCGCCTATAGCTCAACCGGCTAAGGCGCCAGCCACGTACACCTAAGGTGGCGGGTTCGGATCCCCAGCCCGGACCCGCCAAACAACAATGACGGCTGCAACCAAAAAATAGCCGGGCGTTGTGGCAGGCGCCTGTGGTCCCAGCTACTTGGGAGGCGGAGGCAAGAGACTCGCTTGAGCCCAGGAGTTGGAGGTTGCTGTGAGCTGTAATGCCATGTACCCAGGGTGACAGCTTGAGGCTCTGTCTCAAAAAAAAAAAAAAAAGAAGATTACTTCCCAGTGAATGAGGACTCTGTCAATCTACATAAAAATCTTTTTAAAGAAACATATTATTTCATAATAATAATAAAGGAAATTAACATTCAAAGAAAATATTTTGGTAGTTCATATCAAAATATAATGAATTTATGTTACTACTTAATATTGCCACCCATTCCATATTATTTAAAAGTTTAATATACACAAAAAATTATTCTCTAAGAATATAAGTAACAAGTTTCAATAATAAAAAAGATTACACAGTATTTAAGAAAATAGGGGGAAACTTTAAGATAGATGACTAAAGGCACCTGGCCCTCACCCCCTCCACAAAGCAGAATCAAATCAGTTGGTAGATAATCATTCCCCCAAATAAAGCATCTAAGGGAGAACACTGGAATTCAGCAGAGAACTAACAGGAAACACCTGAGGTGTGAAAAAAGAAAGCAAGGTGGCCAGTTTGGCCAGGATCATCAGTAAAGAGCACCAAGAGACTCCCTAGTGTGTAGAAATAGTGAGAGATCCCCTGCAATCCACTTGTATACTGAGGACTCCTATAATCCTAGTAACTCACAGGCCCTGAGACTAATTATAGGGTAGGGAGCTCAATGGAGTCCATGAGATGGTCTTGCTTCACAGAGGGATCTCACAATGTAGCCTAAGACTGAAACAACTGCAGCATGGTACCATTTTGAGAGCCTAGTACCAATGGGCCTGGATCCTACACTGGGGCCCAATAGCCCCTATATCTCCACATCCGCGGAGGCCTACTAAATCTCCTCAGATCTACCTGAAAGGATACAGCAGTGCATCATCAGCTAGATACAGCAGTAGAAAGAAGACACAAGTACTGTCTCCCACAGTGTCTTATATCCCAGGGAATGGGTGGTGCAATACACCAGAGAGGCTATAGGCCAGGCAAAGATAGGATGATATATTCAAAGTGTTAAAATAAAAAATAAAATGCTAGCCAAGAATACTATACCTAGCAAAGTGACTGTTAAAAATAAAGGAGAAATTGGGTGGCACCGTGGCTCAAAGGAGTAGGGTGCCGGCCCCATATGCTGGGGGTGGTGTGTTCAAACCCAGCCCCAGCCAAAAACTACAATAAATAAATAAATGAGAAATAAAGTCTTTCCCAGACAAGCAAAAATAAGGGAATTCATCACCCTTAGACTAGACCTATAAGAAATGCTTCAGAAAGCCCTACATCTGAAAATGAAAGGATATCTGCCATGATAAAAGAATATGAAAGTATAAAATTCATTAGTAGAGCAGACACACAAATAGGAAAGAGAAAGGACTCAGATGCTACCAATATAGAAAACTATCAAACCACAATAATAAACAATGAAAGAAAGGAACAAAGAATATACAAAGCACCTAGAAAACAATTAAAATGATAAGAATAAGTTCTCACTCATCAATAATAACATTAAATATAAAAAGATTAAATTATCCCTTTAAATGATAGAAACAAGGTATATGGATGAAAAAATATAACCCCACTATCTCTTGCCAATATGATACACACTTCACAAGTAAACATGCATACAGACTAAAAATGAAGGGATGAAAGAAGATATTCCACACAAATAGAAACCAAAAGCAAGTAGAAGTAGCTATATTTACACCAGATAAAATAGACTTAAAATCAAAAATAGTAAAAAGAGACAAAGAAGATCATTATATAAGGGGTCCTCAAACTTTTTAAATAGGGGGCCAGTTCACTGTCCCTCAGACCGCTGGAGGGCAGGACTGCGGCCCTGGGACAAGTCAGCTGCTAAGCAGGACAGGCAGTGGAGGCAAAAACACCCGGTGGGCCGCATAAATGTCCTAGGCAGGCCACATGTGGCCTGCGGGCCATAGTTTGAAGACGTCTGTTCTACAGGATCAACCATACATTATCACATCAAACAAATGTCAAAATGTTTAAAAATCAAAATAATATCTAATACCTTACCAAAACACAATGGAATGAACCCAGATATGAACAACAAAGGGAAGTACAGGAAGTGTACAAATACATGGAATTAAATAATATACTCTGGAATGACCACTGGGTCAATTAGGAAGTAAATAGGAAAGCATGAAACAAATGAAAATGGAAAAACAGCATACCAAAAAATATAGAACACAACAAAAGCAGTGCTAAGAGGGAAGTTTATACCAGTGAATGCCTATATCGAACAAGTAGATTTCAAATAAACAACTTAACACTATACCTCAAGGCTATAGAAAAGCATGAACAAACCAAACCAAATTATCAGAAGGAAATAAAAAACAAAGATCAGATAAGAATTAAGTGAAATAGAGATGAAGTATATATAATCAATGAAACAAAAAGCTGGTTTTTTTTTTTAAAGATAAATAAAATCAACAAACCATTAGCTAGACTAACCAAGCAGGGTGGAACCAAATACCCAAAGGAAACAAAATCAGAACCGAAAGAGTAGATATTACAACTAATTATGACAGAAATAAAAAAGATCATCTGGAACTATTAAGAATAAGGGCTGGGCATGGTGGCTCACACCTATAAAACTAGCACTTCAGGAGGCCAAGGTGGGAAAACTGAGGCCAGAAGTTTGAGACCAGCCTGAGACAAGAAAAGAGTTTCACCTTGCCTACAACACCCCTCTTCCATCCCCCAGCAGTGCCATACCAGGAAAGAGTGGAGAAAGAATGTGTGCACCTTGGGAAGGAAGACTAAAGTAACTGTGGGAATTTGCACTAGAACTCAGGGCTATCATATCACCGGTGAACACAACACAAGGCAGAATACTGCTGGCACCCACAAAGGGAGCATTTAGATCAGCCCAGCCAGAGGGAATCCTCAGTCCCAAAACCTGAGGTAAGACTAGCCCTACCAACTAGCTGGCAAAAAGCAACCTGGACCTAAAATAAATTCATAAGGCAGTCTGGCCATAAAGGCCGCAGACCTCAGTCAATTCCTATGGCTTTTGTAGCAAGAAACCAGTAGGTTTGGGGTGCATGTGACCTCATGAGGCACCAATGGTGGCAATTATACCTGTGCCTATGTCATCCCTTCCCCAAGTCCTGGCAGTGCAGCTCAGACAAACTTTTTCCACATGGGAAAGCAATCCAGAATATTTAATTTTGAATTGGGCACCAGCTAAGCCACATTAAAATACCGAGCAGACTCTTGAAGCCTCTAATTCCAAGTCATAGTGCCCAGATGGCATTTCCAAATCTACCCTGAGTCAAAAGTAAAGATGGTACCCTGAAGGGGAAGGATCCAGTCCTGGCAGGAATCACCACCCAGTGACTAAAGACCACTTAGGCTGTGAATAAACATCAGAAATTGCCAGGCAACACTCACAATGGGCATTGGATAAGATTGGCTGGGTCCTAGTATGACCCGGCATAGTCCCAGATGCAGTGACCATGAGGAAGCACCCACATCTCTCTTCCCCCAACTCCAACAGCCCAGTACAGGAGAGTAAAGGGGAAAAAGTGAGGGACTTTGCCTGCTAATACAGGGAGTTATCCCACATCTATGCAAAGTCCACCAAAGCAGTACCATTGGGAGCCTGTTAAAAGTCACAGTATTATTAAGATTGGGGCACCCCCAGTGCTGATATGGCTGCAGTAACCAAATACATAGATCACAATAATCATTCCCTTTGAGTGTCTGGAAAGCGTTCTCAAGGAGGATGGGTTCAAAGTAGCTGAGAGAATAAATGCCTAACTATTCAATACCCACACATCAATGGATATCCACAAGTATCAAGAATATCCAGGAAAACATGACCTCACAGCACAAATTACATAAAGTACCAGTGACCAATCCAGGAGGGATGTACCTTTCAGACAAACATATATATGACTTTTCAGACAAAGAATTCAAAATGGTAACCTGAAGAAGCTCAGGGAACTTCAAGACAATACAGAGAAGGAATTCAGAAGCCTATCAGGAAAAAAAAATGGCAAAAAGATTGACATAATAAAAAAAATCAAATAAAAATTCTGAAGCTGCAAAATTCAATGGACAAACTGAGATATGCCCCAGTCTCTCAAGAGCAGAACTAATCAAGCAGAAGAAAGAATTAGTGAGGGTGAAGACAGGCTATTTGAAAATTCTCTCCATCAGGTGAGAGAAAAGAAAAAAGAATGAAAAAGAATGAATCACACTTACATGATCTAGAAAACAGCCTCAGAAGGGCAAATCTATGAGATATTGGCCTTACAGAGGAGGGAGATACTGGCCGTATAGAGGCAGTAGAGAGAGAAATTGGGGTAGAAAGTTGATTCAAAGAAATAACAGGGAACTTTCTAAACTTAGAGAAAGATATCAATATTTAGGTACAAGAAAGTCACAGAACAACAAATAAATTGAATCAGAACAAGACTACTTCAGGCATTTAATAATCAAGCTCCCAAAGATCACACATAAAGAAAAAGTTCTCAGGGTATTAAGAAAAAATTAAACAAAAAAACATATAAAGAAGCTCTAATATTGGCAGCAGACTTTTCAGTGGAAACCTTCTAGGCCAGGAAACAGTGGAATGATGTATTCAAAAGGCTGAAGAAAAAGAACGTTAATCCTACATTACTATATCCTACAAAAATATTTTTCAAACATGAAAGAGAAATAAAAACTTTTCTAGGCTCGGCGCCTGTAGCTCAACCAGCTAAGGCGCCAGCCACGTACACCTAAGGTGGCAGGTTCGAATCCCCAGCCGGACCCGCCAAACAACAATGACAGCTGCAACCAAAAAAAATAGCCGGGCGTTGTGGCGGGCGCCTGTGGTCCCAGCTACTTGGGAGGCGGAGGCAGGAGACTCGCTTGAGCCCAGGAGTCGGAGGTTGCTGTGAGCTGTAATGCCACAGCACTCTACCCAGGGGGACAGCTTGAGGCTCTGTCTCAAAAAAAAAAAAAACTTTTCTAGACAAACAAAAGCTGAGGGATTTCATCACCTCTAGACCTATCCAAGAATTGCTAAAAGGAATTCTTCAATATGAAAGAAAAGGATATAAATGAAGCAATTAATCATTTGAAGATATAAAACTTTCTGGTAAAAGTAAATATACAAATACAGAATAATTTATTCCTACAATTATTGGACATATATAATTTATATTGTAGTAAGAAGACTAAAAGACAAAGCTACCTAGAGTGACTACAACTTTTAAGAGGTAGACAGTATAAAAAGATATACATGGAAACAACAAAAAGTTAAAAGGGGGGTGGAGTTAAAATATAGAACTTCTTTTAGATTTTTCTTTATTTATTTGCTTGTGTGTCCATAAGCAGAGGTGTCATATGTTTAAAATTGTTGGTAACGCTGAGTACGGTATCTCATGCCTATAATCCGGCACTTTGGGAGGCCGAGGTGGGTGGATTGCCTGAGCTCACGGGTTCAAGACCAGCCTGAGATAGAGTAAGACCCTGTCTCTAAAAGTACCCAGGCATTGTGGCGGGCACCTGTAGTCCCAGCTACTCAGGAGGCTGAGGCAAGAGAATCGCTTGAGCCCAGGAGTCTAAGGTTGCTGTGAGCTATAATGGTACAGGGTACTCTACCCCAGACCTAGTGAGTGATACTCTGTCTCCAAAAAAAAAAAAAAAAAAGGTCAGCAGTCATGGTCTCAAACATCATACAAAACATCTACATAGTAATGTACTTATTCACACATTAATAATCAACCATGGCTAAGTAAAGTCAAAAAACTGTTACCTTGGACCAATTGATTCGCTTCATGGACACTTCAGGTTTATATATTTTTTTCTGCTTCATTCCATAAGGTAAATCAACTATTGCTCCTGGAGGAGGAAGTCCGCCAGGGGGTGGTGGTGGAGGGGGTCCCCCAAACCAAGGTGGTGGTGGTATCCCAGTCATTCCAGGTAAAGGAAGTGGAGGAGGAAGAGGAATTCCTCCAGGTAGAGGTGGTGCTGGTGGAGGTGGAGGCGGAGGTGGCCCAGCTCCTGGCAATGGAGGTGGTGGAGGAGGGACTCCTGATGAAGCTGAGAGTCCATGTGCCTGAAATATAAATAATCCAAGTTAAATATATCAGAAAGAATACATATCAGTAGACATCTGTGGTTTATTTAAGATTATATTTACTTTATTTAATTATTAACATTATATACACTTGATGTTAAGGGTTTAATAGTACACGAGAAAGAACTGTGTAAATTTCTGATAAGCAAAACAGTGACTACTTCTGCTAAATTACTAATGCTAGGAAACTTGGCATCTTCCAAAATTTTGTGAACTATTCCTCCAAAATAATGAAAAATTACCTTTCACTATAAATATATGCAAAGAAGTACTGTATACTGCTTGTGCCTATTAGACTACTTGGTTTGAATATGGCATAATTAATACAAGGCTATGGATTCAATTCCCTTGGGGGCCAATTAGCTTTACACAAAGAGTCTGTTTCGTAGCACCAGCAACTTAGCTGTCTTCTAATACCAGTAATTAATACTAAGTAGCATTCATTTGCATAGTAATATATGCTTATCAACACTTTGCATTTATTTTTCCTTTTGATCCTTATTATAACCCTATAACGTAGATAGGACATTTTAATCTCATATTTATCTCATTGTGTATAGATGAGGAAACTGTAACGGAATAAAAGTTAAATGACTAATCAAAGGCCATGCAGTATGAAATGTGATTAGGATTGCAATGTGGCTCTTACTACACCCAAGGTAGTCCTCTTTCCACTATAACAAACTATATCTTCATGAGAGGGTGTCATTTGTCATGAGGAAAATTAATTCAAACAGACCAGACTAAGAGGAGAGTACAACATGTCTACTATCAGAAAGTAACTTCGGCTCGGCGCCTATAGCTCAACCGGCTAAGGCGCCAGCCACGTACACCTAAGGTGGCGGGTTTGAATCCCCAG